TCAATCTTAGTTTGCTATCAAAACATTGTGTCAAGACTTCACTTGAATCTATAAAAGATATTTTCTGGGGGCTACAGTCATGGCTGCTTTATTTTATTTAACTGTGGTAGAAAGTTTGAAGGACAGAGAAGTAAAGGAAGAACAGAAACAAAAAACAATTTAATGCAATAAATTATACCCACATGATCATAAGTATGTCAAAAACAAAACCCATATCCTTCTTCCCATGCCTGTTTGCAGCAGAAATTTAGACTAGGCCCAGACTAGAGGTGGACTGATACAAGAAAAACCCAGGCTCTCAGGATTTTGTTAAAGCATCTGGCAAGAAAAGAAAATCTTTATCTTTGAAACAAAAACACTGATTTTGAAAAACATATTTTGGCTTTTAATTTTGTTTTTAATTCTTCTTCTCCTCCCTGAACACATAGGACAGTATGTCTGAAACAGATGTACTCAATTCTCTGTGTCTTACTTTTTCAAAATAACACATCTGTGAAAAAGTGAATATGGAAAAGTGCATCAGGAATTTTTTTACTCTAGTGCAGAATACAGAAGTGCAGGCTACTGTACTCTATTTTACTGAAATAGAAGGTGATATTTTTAAAAATATTTAATGGGAAAAAGATGTTCCAATCTGAACCTTTTTATACTTTAAAATATCATAGAACACCCTCATATTTTTACCACTTGCTATTGCAGAGGTCAAAGATGAGAACATTCCATCTCTTTCCTGGAGAATAATTTATTCTGAGGAAGAGAAGGCTTAGGAACTTGTGTTTTGTGCAACTATGGGACAGTATCATCTGATTATCAGAGTGCAATGGGCACCACTGGTAAGGAAAGTAGAACCAGTTCTTTAATAGGTCATATTTAGAGCTGGATAAAATCCATTATCTGGCTTGTCACACAGCTACTAAACATGATATTAATGAAAACCAGTCTTTAATTGCCTTTTCTTTAAATCCACATATCTTAGTGCTTGGCCCATAAGAGAAAGCTGGTAGACATTCCTGTTGTCGATGGAATGCACAATGGGGTGAGTGTGGACTGAGGATTTAAATATCTAGTCCTCAGAAATGGGCCTCTCAAAGTTCCCTGAGATACTTAAAATAAAATAATTAAATTCTCAGCATTTGGAAAAATAATCAGAATACTCGCTAAAAATAAATAGCTTGTCAAGTTGTTTTTTTTTTCATACTTCTGTAAGTTAACTGTGCTTATTAAATGCTACCCAAGTAAAGCATTTCTTTTCCCTTTAAAGCAAAAGATCTCTAAATGGAAAAAAAAATCAGAGCAGGGAAGCATGTCTTCTTAATAAGTATGAAATTTAATAAGCTCTTTCTCCTTTACAATTAAGACAGGGGAAGTGATTTTGCTGGAAATTTATGGAAGTTTAGATCCTCAGGGCAGGCTGGAGACAGGTGGCTCTGTGCATGCTTGTTTACACAACTCTCCTAGGGCAACACAGCCTGACTTGCCAACCTCTGGGCTGTGACACTTGGCCAGATTGTCAGTGTTAGCCTAACAATTCCTGGAAGTCTGCTCTCTCCTTGAGCCAGACTACAGATTTACCTCATGTGTGATTCAACATACAGCTTATCCCAACGCTCCAGAGCTGGCAAGTAAAGGCAGCTTTGACCACTTCTTGCACCTCCTGTGAAGCAGATGTGAAATGCTGCCTTTTCAAAAGAGGGCAGCACATCTCTTTGCCACAAGGTGTAGAGGTAGGTGGGTTCACAAATATCCTAACGGCTTCTAACTACTGATTATAATATTTCCTTCATCTGCTTCTAGAGAGTAAGATGTGAATGCAGGAAAACAAGGCGTTACTGGCAAACCAAAAGGACTTTAGAAATATCATTCACAGAAAACAAAAAATTAGTGTAAAAATAGCTAAAGGAAGCTTAAAGTTGACCTATTGAATCTCATGAGAACCATTCTTGGTCACTATGGAACCCTCTTCTGAATTAATCAAATATATCTCCCCTCATCAAAAAGCAGCTAAGTAATCCCTTAATCAAAGCTAATGCACCACCTTTTGTCTTCTTCCTTTCTTCTTCTCAGCCTCTTGCCACCTACCTCCAAATTCCTGTGGGAGCACAAGCTCTTGCACAGCCTTGGAATAGAGGCAAGGACAGTGAGCCACCAGCTCCCACAGCATCAAGGAGTTTCCACAGGAAATTTGCCAAGAAGTAGATTCAGGCTGTTGCTTTCTGGGACATATAAAGTAAATTACAATCACGTCCTTCTCTGTGAGAAAGCTGTAAGGTAGCTTACACTGCATTGATTTTGGCACGTGGTGCAAAGAGGTAATCACTAAGATGCTGCCAGTCTACCATGAAATCATGGTGGAAGCACAAAGATGCACAAGACATCTATATATATACAAATGGAAGTTTCACATATATAAATAATTCTAAATTAGTTTCCAACCAAGAATCCTGGCTTGAAAAAACTTTTAACACTTTTAATACTTTTCAACTAAGTCCATGCAAACTGATTCATGTTCCTGTTTTCAAAGGTATAAGGAAAACTTTTAACTCCACATAATAAAAATAGAAGGCTGCAAAGAGTGAAACAGCTTCTTCTGTAGCTGGTCTGTTAACTTTCATCACAAGCCAGTGGTAGAACCCCCATTAACATCAAAACCAGCTCTGGGCTCTCTGTGCCAAGCTTTCCTAGTATCAGGATTTTATTCTTATAATTTAAACTTTGAAAGTTCATTTCATTTTGAGGAACAGATGGAGGCTCATGTGTTTACTGATATTTTTCCCCCATCTGTGATAACACAAGCAGGTTAGAGAATGAGCAGATTGTAAACATAATAGATTAGCAAATTTTAAATAAATGTTTCGGAAGACTCACAAATGAAATGCAGATTCCTTTGTGTGTAGTACTAATAAGATACAAACCCGTGATCAGTCAAACTGCAGAAAATAGTCCTACTTCAAGCAAACATTTCTGTAAAGAAAATTACAGTAAAAAGAATCAGAACTGCAGTTCTTCTAAATTGAAGAATAAATACATGCTCAGAGGGGATTTGGGATTACACAAGGCTCATTCTAATTCAGTGGTGCAAAAGATACCAACACTAGTTCCATAGAAGGAGAGAGCAGGCTAAATCTAGTTAACTTTATAAAATGATCTTGATTCTGTCCTGGCACAGCACTCAAGAGTGTATTCGGGGACAGCTGCTCTTGAGGAGACTGGAGAGAGAGAAAGAAGCAGCAGAATCACTTCCAGTGGTGAAAAGCAGCTTGATGCCTCCTCTGAGGCTGTTTAAGAGATGGATTGCTTAAGAGCATCAGCATCTTGGCTCTCCCTCACCCCTCATACCCATTTCCCACCTGCCTGCACCAAAATGCTGTTCAGCTTAGTGTCTGTGGAACACTGGCTGGAGGAAGACTTGTAATGTCATGACAGATTTTCTGTCACCGGAGCACAGCTTGACTGTTGCTTTGGAGGAAAGAAAAAAAAGAGTGCTGAGATTGCCTGAGTCCAGCTTATGCTGTGATTCACAGGTATTAGGAGTTTGGAGCCTTTGAAATCTCCCTTGACAGGGTTTTGGCTGCTTTAGGTTTTCTTATGACAAATTTGCAATTAGATATTTACACAAAGATGCTTTAACTCCGAGGAAAACCACATAAACAGAGAAGTACGTAAAAGGTCACAATGGGTCTGAGATCAAAACATCACCTGAAGTAAGGAGTGTTGGTAGATAGTAACATTTTAAAGGTGCCAAAGTCCCCTTGCAAACCTTTTAACTTTATTCATTGTAGAATAATAAAAACTTCAATATTCAACATGCAAAAACAGTAACAAAACACCCTTTTCCAAATTAAGCACACTGACAGTGTCTGTACCACTAAGCAAAACTTAGGGGCAGGGTCTAATGGGTTAGGGTCAGCCTGTACAGTAAATTGTTAGCAAGTTTTAACTCCCTAGCAGAGATTTGGCCAGTGCCAAAGTCTCAGCCAATGGCCTGTGGCAGGTGCAGAAACCCTGTTTTGGGTATGGGCTTTAGTGGACTGGGGCTATGTGGTGCCCGTCAACCTCAGGACTCTCCCAGACCATTTTATCTGCAAGAATAAATGCAGCCTGTAGTTCCAAACCAAAAGGGAAAAGAATTAAGCTACTAAAATCTGTCAGCAGCAAAATTTCCATCTTGCACATGTTTATTTTTTAACCGTGCATAATTCCAAATCAGTTCAAAATGCCAGTTGAAACAGGAATAAATGTCTAGTGCTTTGAAGAGAAAAAATGAGAATATTTCATGGAAATTAGTCTGGACCTCTAGTAGGAAGCACTTATTAGATGGAGATCCTCTCACTAGAAAAGTGGGTCAGACATTCATTATGCTAGTGAGAAAGGCAAAGGAGATATGAGTCTTGTCTAGTCACCCTTAAAAATTCCATAGCATATATATTTGCCTGGATGGTTCTTCTGAAATATCTGGTTAGGGCTGGATAATGGCAGATGCTGAGCATCCATTATGAAGGAATGGGTAATTTCAGTTCTTGTTGACATCCATGCTGAAAGTGCTTCCCAGTTTAGGGTCTAACTAAATTTGGAGACCAGTACTAACAAAACAGATGTCTGTAATATACACAGAGGGTCTCAATCCTGTTTGTTATCTGGAAGAATGTAAAGTGGGAGATCCCCCATCTTACTTGACTGTGATGCAGATAAGCATTAAACTAGTTTAGTCTGGGCTAATTTCACAAAATATGGTGTTCAAAATCATCATATCAGGAACTATCCTTTGAAATTTCCTAAAGCTCTCTTTAACTGGATTGCTCTGCAACACCTTATGAAAATAAAAATGTGAATTTAGTATGAATGTTTCCAGGCATCCTTTCCCATTTAAAAACTACATCTAAATCCATGGAATCTATCAACATTACCAAAGTAGTGATCCTATTCAAGCTCAATTCTTTACTGTTGCTCCTACTTTAATATCTGAAAACCAAGAATAATAAAGAAAAAGCCACTACAGAAACTGAGACTAGGCTCATTTATTAGAATTAGTTGAAACCATTAGGCTTGCTTGCTAGTGATTTGGAGGGTTTTTATTCATGTAGCTACCCTTTGAAGGGATACATTTCCATTTCTTTGAACAGTACAGAACTGTCACCTTTAATTGTCTCAAATATATGAAGGAATTGCTTGGAAAATAGTTGTAGCCAGGAGTAAGGACACTGCAGATTGTCTAGTAATTAAATGTATCTATCATACAAGATGGAATATGAATGGTAATATTATTCTGAAGGAAAGAATGAAGCTGACAGCTGGAATAGTGATCTGTTGGGTGACCTGACAAAAGAAATACATCCTTGAGCTGAATATTTCCTAAAGCAGAAACCATCTCTAAACTAATGGAAAAAAGCTAGAGTAACTGCACTAGAAATAATTGGTAAATAAATTTTGCCAAGCCTTGAGTATCTTACCTTTACAGAAATTACATTCCACATATGAGAACAAAAATCTCAAAAAAATATCCTAGAAAGGACTAACAGTTTAGAAAAGTTGTAATTACTTGTGTTGTGGCTATCATTATGTAAAATTAATATAACCTCTTTAAGGTAAAATCCAGAAGAAAGTATATTTTCTTATAGATTTTCAGAAGAACAAAGAATTTAGGAAAGTCAGATTGATTTAAATCACTAGTTCTTTCCTCTCTTGCATAGTTACAAATTTTGCTCTGTGCTAGTCTAAGTTTGAGGGAGATATTGTCCTTTATTTAAGAAGTTCAAGTACAGTGCACACTGGTAGTTTCCATCTGCCTTTGAGCTCCTGCTGAGCTGCAATATCTGCAGGTAGGGAGATAAAATAAGTCACACAAGAGCAGAGGAAGAAAACAACACCTTCAGCAAGGCTGTCCATTAAAAGGGCCATAACATAACATAACATAACATAACATAACATCATAACATTTCTTTCACAGAACGTTTAACCTGCATTGACCTTGAGAACAGTTCTCTCCTTCACTCTGAAGTCATCCCGAAATGTAAATATAATTGCATTTTTTTAAGTAGCCCCCCAAAATATTCCTCAATTGCAGTTCCTTTTTAAATGTTGCTTGTGGCACTATTAACCACACTTGGAGCACTATATCCAGTTCTGGGCTCTTCATTGTGATAGCCCTGGGTATACTGCAGATTCCAACAAAGGGCCTCTAAAATGAATAAAGGACTGGAACTCCTCCCCTGTGAGGAAATGCTGAGAGACCTGACATGGTTCCACTTGGAGAAGAGAAGGCTCTGAAAGATCTTATCAATATGTATAAATAACCAGAAGTGAGTGAACAAAGAAGATGGAGCCATGGTCCTTTCCATGGTGCCCAGTGACATGACATCAGAGACAAGGAAAACAAGCTGTAACACGGGAGGTTCCCTCTCAACATCAGGAAACGCTAAATTCAGTGCACTGAACTCAGTTTTAACACTGAAACTCACATCTTAAATGTTTACAAAACATTTCTGTGAGTATTTTAGGGGAACATCCCTTTTATCAAGAGTTTTCCAGCAAGTTAGTTTTTCCATTACCATTACACTTCTGAACATTTTCTAAAGACGAAAGAATCAATATAAAAATTACATCAAAGATCACATTGCAAATATCAATCTATGATGGAAGATGTATTGACATGTGGGTTTTTATTTCTCCAAGGTTTTATTTCTCCAAATTTTACATGGGGTCCAAAAGAAAAATGTAGTTTGGACAAATTTGAGAGTTTGTCTGCCAAACATACACTATTTTCAACTTTGATGAATAAGGAAACTTATTCAACTTTGATACATAAGGAAAACTCGTGGCTTTATAAATAGACTGTTAACCTGGCTGTCCCTTTAGAAGAGAAGATGTTGCCAGTTTTTTTATCTATTCCATTCTAAAATATTAAATATATGGGAAAGGGAAGAGAGTGAAACACTGCAGATTTGCTAAAACCTTTTAAGTACTTGCTTTACTGAGCACATCCCTCTATGATTTACTTAAGTTTAGCACTCATATTTCAGTAAGGATGATCTACCTGCATGGTGCCATGTGGGATGTAATTTAATAACCTTGTATAATGATCTTACACAAACTCCAAAAGCTTGGCCAAGACTTCCCATTAACAAAGAGATGATTATACTCTTAAGCAGTAGATCATTTGGGTTCAATTCTGCTTCTACACAAGCTGGGGAATAGCACAACATAATATTATCAGGACAGAGCTAAACATCTTAACTGACTAGACCTTAATAGCCTGAGGTGCTCCAGATGTCTTAAACTGTGATTTCCACCAATCTTCTTTTTCTTTTATGGTTTACAGTTGAACCTATATTAACTTTTGTCCAATTAGGCTGAATGCTGCACACTATTAAGAAAGCAGTACAATTGAAAAACAGTATAAAATTAAACCCATTCTCCCCCACATGAAAAGCATGGCAGAAAGATACAATCTCAAATGAACCAAGAAGTTTCTTTTCTTTCATGGAAAAGTTCACAGCTCTCAACATAGATAATCTGACCTTATCATAAACCTTTGTACAAAAGAACTCACAGAACTTAGTCCAGGTTTGTACAAGGAAGAAAGGTAGGACCCTATTCATCTGAAGTATTTTAAAGAGCATTTCCTTCTGAACTCTTAAATATCTTAAAGAGCTAAAAGTAATTCCTTCACATAGAAAAGGTGAAAATACCACTGCAAGAGCAGCAGTAAAGAACAAACACAGGAGAATGGGCAGTGATTCTTTCAGTCTCCCTGGATTGCCGTTACAGTATTGGTGTCAGAAATAAGACAGTAAATGGGCCAAGATACCCATCTGTAGGCACAAGGGGTTTTGACTACATCTCTGTTCCTGTGTCCACACACTCCACAACCACACTGTCAATGCTACTCTTCTAGAAATATCAAGACTGTTTGAGGGAAGCAAGGATACTTCAAATACAAAATAAAAATGCAGTTTTTGCTGTGCTTTGGGATTTTAATGTTGTAAGGCATTGTTCTTCGCACTTCTCTCCATAGCTCTTAGTATAAACACGATTTTGAGTGAAAAATGGAGATGCTGTTTGCAGGACTCTGAGAGATGAGGCCTTAATAAATACTCCATGTGTCATGAAGTTAAGAGTTATAGCTGCTGGATTTCCTGATGAGCTGTTTTCTTAATAGAAAATCTCTTCTCTTGTAATCAGCAAGCCTACTGGAAAAGAAATCCATCATCTGCTATGACAGAACATAATTTTTCTAAAGAGCTTCTTAAAGTTAAGCACAATATTTCATTTAAATCTATTCTTTTATTATATTAACTAGAATTACTCACAAAAGAGTATAAAGAATAATGGTAACTAACAATGAATAAAACCAAGACAACTGATTATTTAATTTCAAATTGTAATTATAATTATTTTTAGAACTATCAAAAGCAGTTATGAAATGTCATTAAACTTTTCCACAAACACTATTTTGTTAGAAACCCAATTCAGAAGTAAATTAATTTTAACTGTCAAATCTATGCAAAAGACAAACTCAGTTCAGCTGCATTCTCCATAAAACACTGGTAGAAGGGCCTGTGAAACAGCTTCTGCATCCATCCTGGTTATGAAAAATTAGACCAAAAAATTTACACCTTGCAATCCCACTTGGCCCACAAGATTTATGGTCTGCAGAAAGGTGCATATAGGAGCCAGAAGTGTGCCTGCATTTAATATTACTGGATCCTGAGCAGAGGATCCTAAGCTTTTTCATTGAAATCACATTCACGGCACATAGAAGTGCCCAGCTGTCTGTCACAGACTATTTCTCAGCTGTGTGCTCTTTAAACAGAGATGAAAAAGGGGGGAAAATATGAACTGCAACACTATGCACACTACAGCATAAATTGAATCAAGAGGGAAAATGCAGCAAAGGAAAAATTGGAAAGTAAAAAATTGTAGGTTTTCTAGCCATTGGAAGAGACAAACCACTTATTTTGTTTTATCTGACTTTTTGTGACCTATGAGAAAAAAGAAAAAACAGGCCAGTTACTACTGCAGTTCTTGTATGCTAAAACAATGAGACCACACTGTAAGCTGAACAAAGAGCTGCGAGGTTTGTGACTCCGCATTCTATCCCTCACCTGATGCTTTGAAATACTGGAGAAATTTTAGCTGCAATACAAAATCTCTAGGATGGTTAACTTGCAAACACTTGCATTTTTAAAAAATAAAAAAAAACTTGATTGGGGTTTTTAGTTAAATGAGGAAAGACTCACAGAATCTGATGTCAAGTTTATAAATTCAATTTGAAAATACATTTTTTTCCACCCTAAAACAGCTTTGTCCATGTTCAAGTCTATGCTTGTTTGTTTTTTTCTTTTAAAAATAGTTTGGATCATACATTCCTCTAGCACCATCTTATCACCTAAGGCAAATGTAACTCTGGCACTCAGAAAACACAGCACCACAGGTAGCTGGACTTTTTGAAAGGAGTTTATAGTTTCAGTGGACACTGCCAAGTGGGCTGATTATAGCCTTATGGTAATTGTTGGCTTTCCCCCAACAGACTGCTTACCTATGTCAGTCTGCTAAATACAATCTCATCATTTAGTTTTAAGCACAAGAAAATGTTTTGTTTTTTTTTACAAAAAGTAGGATGTAGCTATTTTTCAGTAAATTTCAACTTCTTTTCAATACAAAATTTTACATCCTACATTTCTTTATTGAATTCAGTGAAGAGCTGTAAATCATTATCTTGCTAAAGAACTAGGATTGACACTAATGACAAAAAAAAATTCACATTCTTTTGATCTGTTTCTTATTTGTAAAAAAAAAAAATTATGTTCTGCTGACTGAGTTAAGACCATATTCTGATCAGTTTAAGCAAATTATTCCATAGGCTTTTGACCACCATTTCCCTTCAAAATCTCTCAGGGATTTCCAAGGCAGACATATGGGAATTACAAGTTCACTACACATCACTTATGTTCGCCTTGCAGATCTCCAGGCATCCATGCAAGCCTCCACTGTAGAATTCATTTATTGCCACAGACTTGGCTGATGTTTTGAAAAGACTGGTGTTATTGGAAGAGTTGTAGAGCTTTAGTCTGTCTTGCTATTCTTACAGGGACATAACCCCTTTTTCCCTGATACAGCCAGGAACTTTAAGGATATACTGCAAGTTTATCTGAGCCTGTGAAAATGTCTAATACAAGGTATCACCTTTTCATAAAAAGAATGATTCTAGGTCTAGTTTTTCTCAGAATAGTTATTCTGGACATCATTCACTTAATATAACAAAAAAAGTGAATTCTTTTCTTAACTTTAATAAAAGCAAGTTTTTTACACTTTACTCAGGTTACAAAAAAGAGCTGTCCTTGGATAATATTGTTCATTTAACATTTCATTCTCATTGATACCTATTTTTGTGTTATTAAAAGGGAGATAGAAGACAGTGATTTGAAATTAATATAGCTGTAGTGTTCTTTATGAATGGATCATGATAATATTGCAGTTATTTTTCATTATTATTGCTTTGCACAGTGTAGCAAAATCATCATTCTCCTCTATGCATAAACAAACATGGTCCTGACTAGTATTCAGTGACATCAAGCTTAAATATTCCAGCTGTCAGAAAAAAATGAGGTTACAAAATGATTTTGAGTCATAAGTTAAATCAGGTTTCATAAAAGAAATTAAACAATCCCGGCATAGTTGTCTTTTCCATTATCATACAGCATATGGGATATATTGGGACCACATCTTTGAGATAACAGAGCATGTCTCAGTATTTGGGAGTGAGCTTCTGAATAGAATTGTGCAAACAATTGATTTTTCAGTGACTGACTGTTGAACTGCAGTATTGAAGACAGGTTGATCAGATTGAACTACAATCAAAAATGAAAAAGATACTAGCATGCAGGTTTTTTGCATCTGAAATAAAACCTGAAAAATATTTTTTTTTCATATAGCATGTTTTAAGCCAATTGTCTTTTAAGTAAAGAAATCAGAGAACATGGAGATGAGCAAGAGCACACCCATTTTGAATTGCAGAGTGAAGGTATTTACCCAGCTGGCAAAAGACTGAGACAAAGATGGGCACCAGCACTAAGCTTTCAAAACCACTTTCCCCTCATTTCAGGAAAATGGACTAAACATATGTTCATTTTTTCATGTCTAGTAAGCGGCTTAAAGACTTTTCCTCTTTCAATCAGAAGAGAAAAGATACTTCCTATCTGAATCTGTTTTGTAAATTTGGTAAATTGTGTTTTTCAAGACTTTCAGGAAATAGTCATTTTATATCATCTACCACTGTAATTTTAAAATAATAAATCTTGATCTCTTGAGGTCTTTTGTGGGGAGAGAGTTGCGGTAGGTTTTTTAAGAAAGCTAAAAAATATTATGTGTCTTGATCTGATGACAATAAAAATTTCTGGGAGTAGGATAGGGTGAAGTGCAGTGCCAGTGAGATATATTCTTTCAAAGGGTCAATCAAAGAGAAGGAAAACTGCCAGAACATCTGTTATCCAGAGAATCTGAATATTGATTTTCATGTGGGGAAAAAAGAAATTCTACCTTCAGATTATGTATGAACAATTGACTTAATGTGACCTTTGGCCTAGAATAAAGATTTTTTTTTGTTACATTTGTGGCTTGAGGGCTCATGACCCAACTGTGTGACATAAACAGGTCCAGCCTAAAATGCAGTCACTGCCAGAAGACTACAAATTTCAGCCAAAAAGTAGAAACTGAGCACAGATCTCCTAAATGGCCAATCAAATATGCTATGAAACTAGTTCACAGTGTCCCACTTTGATTTCTACTCATCTCCATGGCAGTTCAAAAAACACCATTAAGGCAAGAGGTTTTAATAGTCACATTATCTTCAGTGCCAGACACGATCACAAAATACTGTGATGATATACTGCATATGAGGCACATAACAGAGAAAATGCCTGAATGAATAGTACCTGGTGTCAGCCATATATGGGCAGAATATTAATCTTGGCACCTCTCACGATAGCATGGTTTTCTTGCCATAGTGAAAAGAGTAATTTCACTGATTCACCAGATTTAGGTGACTGGTACATGAGAACATGACTCTTGGGAACCAATTAAATACCATTTGTTTACTGGATATACAGAGAATGAAAGATCAGGTGCACACTCTAAATTACCTTCCATTTCTTCATGGCAGTAGAAGTTAAGTGCAGCAGTAGGGATGCAATTTACAAAAAGGCTAAAACCATCAGCTGGAAACATGTGAAGGAAGAATCAGTGAGATACTTGCTCTTAAATTACTTCAACTCTTGATGATTCTGTACAATTAGCTTGGATTTTTTTATCTTCTCATGCAACAGGGTACTTAACTACTGATTTAGCTATGTAATTACTTAACAGAACAATTACTTAATTGCTTAACTTGAATTTTAACAGCCAAATAATAGCAGCTAAATAAATAAAGATAAGTTCCTTAAATCCCTGCAGTACCTCCAAAAACACATCAGCTAGAAACCTGGACACACCTTTATTTGTGGTCATTTGTTCAATGTTTACATCTCTTCAAGTAGTCCCTGATCATTACATTTTTTACTTATAAAGCGTGGGAAGTTGCAAAAGAGAAATACCTTCACTCCAAGAAGAAATTACTCATAATTATACTGTTGCAGTAGTTAAAGAAACTTATTGGTTTTGTAGCAGTCAGGAACCTAAGATATATTTGAAAGCTACATCGAGTTCAAGTCACTGAAGTATTTTTTACTGTACTCTCCAGAGCAATAAAATCAGCATAGAAGTGGGCAGAACAAAGTTTCCATATGAACAGAGAACAAACTCATGCTAGTGCTTTCTATTTAAACTCTGCCTTTAGACATCCCAAACTCTCCGTTTTTAAGGCACTAGGAGTTTTGGTGTGCCTTTATCATGGGTAATCTGCTGGGTGTATTCCAACTAATAAATAATAATAGCACCAAAGATGTTAGTTCGCATCAGATGTCTCTAGTGCACCTCCCTTTCATTTAACTACTTTTTGATAAGGTATATCAGCAATTTCCTTTTCTTAAAGCCTTAACTAAGATAATTTTGTTACTCTTTAGCCTGTTAGTTTTAGTCTGTTAAGTATTGGACTGTACAGCATAATCCTTCTGACACAATCAGGTAGCTTCAATGATGGATTAATGTATCAAGGACATCAGTTCCAGGTATGCAGAACACTTTTGCTGCTGCAGACTGCTTGAATTTCCCAGAGAAACATGAACAGTCAGGGCGTTTTCAGCTGAATATAGCAACATAGGAAAGAACAGTGCAGTGTTGTTATTTCAAGTTAAAAGGTAGCAATATGTTATTGTGATCAGTTAATTAAAGGCTGCTTTAAAACTAGCTTTGCAGTCAAAAATTCTTGAATATTTAATTATTTTTCTAAGAGATCATGAACCAGTTCCTTGAGTGAAAACAGAACATGCCTGAATTGAATGTACTTCAGTATAAAAATGATGGTTTCATTCACAGGAAAAATATATGAAAAGTAACATATCTGATGGAACTCTAGCCTTGATAGATGTAGATAAATAAAAGTTGAAATGTAGAGGTATTTGGTCACAGGAAACATAATGCGGAATTTAGGCCAAGATGCATTACAAAAGTATCACAGTTTTAAATGTAATACCCAAATGTGTTCCAACCCAGTGTGACACCTCTGTCTTTGGAGTGTCCTCTGACTAATTTCAGCCATTAAACTCCAGTTATGAATGGTGAGATGAAGGAATCAGGGCCAAGAGTGTACCTTGCATTGTCACTATGGTATAGATACCAGAAAACTGCATACTGTTTTTCAGGCCCACAGTCTGAACTTTTTGTTGTTTGTTTTGCTGTTTTGAGGTTTTTTAAAGAAAATAAAAGTGCATACTGTCTACTAGTTATTCCCTTGATAAAATAACATTACAATGAAGTTAGTGGCCTTCTTGCTTCTGTTCCTATTTCTCTTATTCACCATTCCATTCTTTCCCCTTCATCAACCCATCATATTAGTCTAGCAGGGTCTTTTAGCATACTAGTCTAGCAGATATATTGCATGAACAAAGCAAACAATATTTGATCCCAGACAACAAACTAAATTAGCAGTGTATACTGACTGCTCTCAGATGAGTCACTTTCTACTTCCAGTAAGACTCTGCATCCAAACCTTCAATGTCTAGTACCTGTACAAGTACATGACCTCAGTAGAGCTTAGTTTCTGCTCATGTGGTGGAGGAAGGAAAACAGGCAGCTTTGTTCTCTTTTAGACAAACTCAAACGAACACCCTATTGCACTTGCAACCTACACAAACTGTTTCCTCTTTCCATGGTGTTACTCTTCTGTGGAACCAAAGGACACTGTTCTCTGCACCCAGCAGAGAAGACAAATGCTGCTCTACCTATGGACTGCAAAGGAGGGAAGGAAGGAGGGAGGGAGAGAGAGCTTTGTGTCTTCCCTGCTTCTCCCTCACTCCAACTTTGTGCTCTGGACAGATGCAAGGTGACCCTAAGCAGTTACATGTGTGGACTTAAAGACTACAAGACAGAAAGAAAGTGGATGGTCCCTTCTTTTTCTCCTCCTGTATATGGAACTCCTTTCTGTCTTTCCTGGGTGCTCCCTCTGTAAATTAACGAACAACAGGTCAGAGGAGATGGAAAGGCTTTTTACCTGCCAATCCCAGAGTTCAGGATGTGTTGTTTCTCCTGCAGCAGTTGATGACACCCTAACAACCTTAGCAGCACTGGAGCTGCATTCCTACGCTGTAACAGGGGAAGCAGGACCAAGGGCCTGAACTAAGGTCTTGGCAGGTAAGTGAAGGAGCAACCAGTATCAAAGAGCTTCGTTTGCAAGTGTACGTCTTTGTAATGTTTAAGTCTTAGTATGTGCTCTGTTTTACCTGGGAGCTTAAACTTCCAGTTTTCAGAAGAGTATTTGAGAATACCTATTAGCTCTGCCAAATGCTTGAAAAAAATGTTGGAGAAAGTCATAAATGCAGAGAAACTATAAAGAAAGATTAGTTGTGCTAAAGATGTCTCAGAGATGGGATTTCTTCTTAGAGCTGAGCAGAAGTTATTTAGATTAGTGGGGGAGGAAGAAGCTTTCATCTACAAACATATCTTTGTAGCAACACTTAGAGTGACTGGGAGCATCACAATATGGCGAATACTTAATATTCAAAATATGAGCTCTTGAGATTGGAGGGGGGATTTTTTTGCTTGGTTGCTTGTTTTCTCTTAACCAGACACATCAGGAACACCTGATGAAAGGAAATTTCCATCTCCTTACTACATTCCACTTCTTAAGCTTAATTATCAGAACCAGGTTTTCCATATGAATATCTATGCCACTCGAAACACTTTTTATTTTAGTAGTTATCAGGAATTGTGTGTTTGCTGGCAATCCCATGTTCCACAAGATTCACACAAAACACACACAGAGGAAGTCTTTACCACTACAGCAAATCTGATTAAAAAGATATTTGCAGAAAAATAAGTTATTCTAGTTAATGGTTAAAAAAATAAGCAAAAAAAACCTATTAAAAACATCTTTGCATAAAGGAAGTCTTTCTTTTCCTTGCTTGTGGTAATATGAGAGCAATGGATGCCTTTCTACTCAGATGCCAGTATGTTTTAGCTTTTGGAATGGAGAACAAATTTAGGTCATAAGAGGAAATCATAAGGAGCTGCCACATGCTAATTTCTGTATCTGAGCCATCTACTGCCACTGTATCTTGCAGAGAGAAAAGGGAACATTCATAAAGACTGAAAAATTATCCAGAACCAATGGGGCATCAAAGCCCCATCAATATCCATTTCAGATACTCATATCCCTCCTACTCATACTGTTGCTAGTATTCTCAGTTAACTAAGTGAAATCACTCCAAAAGTGACCTCTAAGTATTTGCCCATCTTTCAGTGGATAAACTGTGAACTTCTAAAAAACTGCATGTGCTAATAACAACTGTAAATTAATATTCATCATAGTTCAGGGGAAAAGTCATTATAAAAATTTTTCTCCAAATTTTAGACACAAGAGTGAAAAACAATACCCTATATAGGTCTATATCCTTTAAAAGTTTGGATAACTATAGTCATTGTTTTAAATTAACTTTCTCTAGACAAAATAAAGTGTTGTACTACATTGCAGCCTCACTGTTAGGAATGAAGATAGAGGAGACAATGCAGGAAGACCAACGCATACAACCAAACTGGAGAGTATCCAGGTCATAGAAGAATGGTAAGTTGGTCAAGCTGTTGTCTAATAAGTGCTTTGTCTTTAATATTGAGAACTGTCTTGAATTTAATTCTTTGGGATTGTCCTTTTAATTGCTTTTCCTCCAAAAAATTCTATACAGGAGGAAGTAAAATCTCTTCTGACAATGAAATGACAGCAAAGAAATTCACAAGTTAGGCTTATTTGCAGTTTCTTATTTGTGGGGCAGAACCACGGGGAGAAATAGAAGGTGCATGGATGGTTTGATATGAGGGTCTCTATAAGAAGCCTCTGCTGGCCATGAGAGCATTTTTCCTGTCTATCCAGACAAGAAAAAATAATAGTCACAAGTGTACTTCATGACAAGATTTTTAACATGGCAACCTTTCATAAAACAGCTTGAACTGTGGTTTCACTGGAATTAACCAAAAGAACACATACCTTGAGAATTGGGTTAAACACACTGAAAGTCTGAGCTTTTCCTTCTATCTAAATCTTGGGCCCCTGTTTAGTGTGCGGGGAAAAAATGGTAATCTGTCAGGGGCCCTGCATTCTCTAATCCCATAAAAAGGAAATTAAAACTTTAAAGGACATATGTGATGGTAAAAACAACCCCAAAAAACTCATTGCCTTTACTGCTAATCATAGTCTTTTATGAGAGAACACTATCATAAATTTCTACAAAATATGATAGTGAAGAGAGCTTCCCAACAGACAATAAGGGAGCCCAGGTTGTTTGTCAGCCCCATCCACCTCAACAGGCTCTTTTCCCTCTCCTCAACAGAGAGTGCAAAGTCCTGAGAGGACTATTCACCCTAAAATCTGTGTTAAAACTTTCATTCAGTCTACAATTACTTTGCAGTTAAACAATTTGTGATTTATCACAAATAGCTTCCTATCATCCAGTCTTTCTTGCACGCAGAGTAGGAGTTGATAAATTGACTTGAATAGAAATTATATAGACAAATGTCACTTATTGTGCATTATGGTAATGATGCTAATGACAACAGCTTGTAAGGGCCTTGTGTTGGATCAAGAAGGAGAGAGTGAGTGCTCAAAATTAAGTTTGAAACTATATTTAATTGTTGTTAAGTAATCTGGAAAATTACTTTCTTAGGCTATTCATTGGTACATTAATGGATTAGTGACGCCAGTAAGTCTTCTGATCACTTACCCAGTGCATCCACTGGTAAAAGCCACAAATAGTTTCCTTCAGGAAATGGAAAGAAGGATTTTTCCCCATTTCTTCTCTTTCCAGTTTTGCCAGCAAAATCCATTGCATCTCATGCCAAAAGATCATAATTCAGGTCAATAGCATGAAACAAAGGGATGCTTAGCATCCCTTAGGTACAAGCCCAGAGAAATATGCTAATTTGAAATCTCTCTGAATTACTACTTTGTTTGGCCTCATTAGTATGCTTTTGGCTGCCAAGAGCTTTTTGTTTTTCTTGTTCTTCCTAAACCAAATTGTGTACTGTCACCATCAGAGGCAGGCAGGAACATCAGGTGTCATTTAAACTCTTCACAAGGGTCTATTTCCAGCTTCCTGCAATCTCCTTTAACTGCAGAGGCAGGAATTCAGCACTGTTGTGAGATTTTGTCTTTGAGCCACATGGCTAAGAACACACAGCAGAAAACTCGTAAAAAGTCAAGTGTATGTCTCGTAAAATTGAACACATTTAGTGGGCTATTGGGATAATTAATGCACAAGTGAAGAGAAAACTTAATTCCCCTGTTACTGCAGAAGCCTTGTTGCTTCCAGTTTTTACTTTGGACTAAAGTGCAGTTGAAAGGAGAATTTTTGGATGAATGTATGAAAACACTGTTACAAAAATAGAAGCATATTTGTAATGATATTTGCTTTTGCAGCCAAAACCCTACTGCAGATGAAATTTTGTCTTGGGCTCAGAATTTTGACAAGATGATGAAAACACCAGCTGGGAGGAACCTTTTCAGAGAGTTTCTTAGAACGGAGTATAGTGAGGAAAACCTGCTCTTCTGGCTTGCATGTGAAGATCTAAAGAAGGAACAGAACAAGAAAGCTATTGAAGAAAAAGCAAGACTTATATATGAAGATTACATTTCTATACTATCACCGAAAGAGGTAAAGCTGTAAATGTTACACTTGGATTTTCTGTTAGAGCAGAAATATTATACACTGAACTGCCAGGTGAGAGTCTGAAAGACTGTCAGATATAAGTCTTAGTATGAACATTAAATCAGGAAAGGAAGGGACAGAAACAGTAGAAGACACAGACACTGGGATGTTTAGCATTACCAGCCACAACATATCCAAGATCTCTATAAGACTCAAGAAACTCCAGTAAGAGAAGGTGAGAAATAGGTTTGCTTCCTTAGTAGTGCTACAAGTCTGACAGAGAGAGGAAGTAAGTAATGCAAATGGATTTCTGGAGAAAAAGCACCAAAATTAAGGAATTTATATCAGAATCTTTATAGATTTATCTGCTGCTACAATTGTTAGGGAGCAAATCTGAATTTCCGCTGGTTATTCCTATATGAGAGTCCCAGAATGAAGTGACATACTTTATCTAATGAAATGTATAATATCTAGGGAATTTTATAAGATTTCATTCAACCTTTTAACTGAAATAGACAAATTTTGAAATTATCTTCACCTGTAGTAAAGAAAAAGCATCCCTATCAAACCATGTTTTATAAAACAGAGATATATAAATATATAAGCACTGTAGAAGAGTTTTTCTTAGGCCACATGATGTACCTTATCTTCTCTGCCCTATCTCAGTGCATTGCATTTGAATTTCTACTCAATGGAGTTATGCTAATTTATGCTCACTATGGACCTCACTTCCTACTTTTCACTTCTTCACAGAAATAATTTGCAACTTCATTCATATGAATGAAGCCAAAAGTGATTTATAGCTCCATTATCTTCTCTTGTGCCATAGTATCTACTTTTTCCTTGGAGTGAAATAAAATTGCCAATACAGCAAGCTAATAATAAGTTTTTCTTCTAATACAGTATTTTTACCAGATAGGTATGTGATGAATGCTCAATTGCCTTTATAAGCTAAGACCAATCAGCATTTAAAATTGAAACACTAACTAAGCATTGTTTGACTTAGAGTTTAACAAAGCTATTCACAAACCTGGTGCACTGGATGTATACAGATCTCAACAATCCATTTGCTCCTGCCCATACTGGAAATCTTAGGAGGCAAACAAGAACTCTTTGCAATGCATTGGAACAGCATGGGAACTGAAAAATTCTTGTTCATCCAGGCATCCCTTTTCCAGATGTTACCTTTTGGCATAAGAACTGAAATATTTAGCATGACTTGTTCAGTAAAGAAATTTTTGAAACAGAAGGTCTTAGTGTTCTAAACAGATACTTTGTATTCATCTGTTTAGCAAGAAAATACCTTTAGTAATTCCAACTAGTTTTGCCATCTGGCTTTAGTGAGTCACTTAAAAAATACAATGCAAATTAACAGTTCCATAATTAATTTTGTTTTTTGCATTCTCTAAGTGCAATTAACTTTTATTATGCTCAGTGGCTCAAAACTCCACTATCCTGCCAAATTTGAGGGTTTTTTTATCCTGGCTATTATGTTTGATATTGAAGAACCAATTAGCTGCACAAACTGTTTTTGTTGATATAAATGTCTGTGCCTGCGTGTGAGGGGGAGAATTGTTTCAATCTTACTGTGTCCTTTCTGGGCTGTAGAAATGCAATGGTCTGGGCTTGAAATCTATTCAAACACATTCTGAAGACACATGGCTGCAACACAGCCACTCAAAACTACCATAGCACTGTACTCCTGCCCACACTCACTGGCTGAGCAGCACCACTGGTCTCTCATTGTTGTGCCTTGTGGCTGATAACCAAGTGACAGCAAATACTGGATGAGAAAGTGCTTGTCTGCTCTGTCAGTAGCATACTCCAATATTCCAACAAACCAACAATGCCAAATTCTGCAGCTGGTACTGAAGATAGAATGAAAATATCTATTTACTTCTCAGTACTGTACCATACTATACCATATCACACCAGCATATTTCTTCTCTTCACCATGTATGAAAGCACAGGCTCACACATCCCAACATATTCTGAGTTTTCATCCTGGTTAGCATCCTTCATGTATCAAGGTATCTTAATACATGGAGCTTTTGAGGGTTGAAGTCAATCCTTCAGAAAGTATTAATATCTTTGTATGGTTGCAGAGCAGTAGGGTCAGATTGCAACTTGGTGTAAATCTAAACTGATCTCTTCTTGGCATTTATCTTCTCAGGATTTTAGTCCTTTTCTTCTTAGCTGAGTAAACCCCTCCTGGTCTCAGTGGGCTTTGCTGCTACTGCCATTTCATTTAATCCAGAACATATTAATTTATTAGGTTTTAGAGCATTTTGTGGATAAACTGTACATTCACTCAAATTTCTAAAGGATATTCTAAAATCATCTGGGCATCTATCCCAAGTATAATATGTCTGACCAGTCACCAGTGGTGTCCATCAAGGGTCTGTGCTGGGGCCAGTCCTGTTCAATATTTTTACTGATGACATGGGTGAAGGTAATGAGTCTTTCATTTGTAAATTTATGGACAACACTAAGCTGGGAGTGTGTGTTGATCTGTTGGGAGGTGAGAGAGCTCTGGAGAGAGACCCACAATGTTTGGATGGATGGGGAAAGTCTGATAGGATGGAGTTTAATAGGTCCAAGTGCCAAGTCCTGCATTTTGGCCGCAATAACCCCCTGCAATGTTACAGTCTGGGGATGGTGTGGCTGGACAGAGCCCAGGCAGAAAGGGACCTGGGGGTGCTGGTGACAGCAGCTGAACATGAGCCAGCAGTGTGCCCTGGGGGCCAAGAAGGCCAATGGCCCTGGCCTGTGTCAGGAATGGTGTGGCCAGCAGGAGCAGGGAGGTCATTCTCCCCCTGCACTGGGCACTGGTGAGGCCACACCTGGAGTGCTGTGTCCAGTTCTGGGCCCTCAGTTTGTGAAGGACGTTGAGACCCTTGAGTGCGTCCAGAGGAGGCAACGAGGCTGGTGAGGGGCCGGGAACACAAACCCTGTGAGGAACGGCTGAGGGAGCTGGGGTTGTTTAGCCTGGAGAAAAGGAGACTCAGAGTGACCTCATCACTCTCTACAACTCCCTGAAAGAGGCTGTAGGCAGGTGGGGTCGGTCTCTTTCTCCAGGCAGCATCTGACAGAATGAGAGGACACAGCCTCAAGCTGCACCAAGGGAAATACAGGTTGGATATTAGGAAACAGTATTTTATAGAAAGAGTGGTAAAGTACTGGGATTGTCTGCCTGGGGAAGTGGTGGAGTCACCATCCCTGGATGTGTTATAAGAAGATTGGATGTGGCATTCGCTGCCATGGTTTAGTTGTTAGGGCTGGATTGGACACGATGATCTTGAAGGTCTCTTTCAACTTAGTGATTCTGTGAATTCTGTAATTCTGTCCTTTTCTGCCTAGGCACAGGAGTTCATCACAAATGGTAAGTAAATGAGAGGCTAAAACTGAAACTTGCTAACAACTTCAATACGGATATATGATCTCCTGAATTACCAGATAATAAAGAGTCATGACAAGAAGAACAAATCTGAAATAGTTAATATTAATGGGGAGATTAACACAATAAAAATGATAAAAAGCCCCTGGGTAATTTGTAAAGAACAAATATAGTACGTGAAAAGAAAATCAGGAAAAAAAATCTCTAGGGTAGCCAGATAACAATGATGAATAAAAATCTTCAAAAAGTTTAACAACAAATGCTCAGGAAAAAACCTACAGTTCTCTGAATAGGGGCAATTCACCATTCATTTCAGATAAATAATTTTAAATATATGCAAATTCTTTTTTAAGGTAAAACAATATATTTTGGAAAAGTGCAGTTGCACTACATTTAATCTGCTATACGACTGCATTTCACTGTACAGATCTTAAGATGGATACAACAACCAAGTCAAAACTGAAATAGAGTTGATGGACTCAGTGCATTACACATTAATTATGTGATGGTTCTGAAAGAAGCACAAAGCATTACTTGAATAACTGATAAACTCAATATGTTCAATGCAGCCCTGAGAAATAGATACATATTACAGCTTTTCCAATGTTGTTGTTTTATTATTCTGTGATCATCTTCTTCAGGTTAGTCTTGATTCCCGTGTGAGAGAAGTGATCAACAGAAACTTGTTGGACCCCAGCCCTCACATGTATGAAGATGCCCAGCTCCAGATATACACCTTGATGCACAGAGACTCTTTTCCAAGGTTTTTGAACTCTCAGATTTATAAGTCTCTTGTCGAAAGTATTACAGGCTCTACTTCTGAAACTTAATTTTCACATAAAATAACTTGGTTTTTGTTTTGTTTTTTCTTTGGGTGGGTGGGATGGAAGAAAAGTAGTTTAATAACATCTGGAGCTGGGTTCCTGGAGAACTACAGTTTAGCACTACTCAGGCTACTGTGAAGAAAAAAAATACATATTATGGTCTCTGTCTACATTTTTACCAAGGTCCTCCTTGCTCAAGATGGCGTGGGAGGGGATAAATGGATTTGCCAAAATACATTTGTTTCACACTCCTTTCACCCTATTGCAGTCAAGATTGCAATGATGTATTTGTAGTTTTATGAACAGTCTCCTTGTGTATCCTCACACTGCATGTGCAAGGTAAAACTGCTTCACTTACCACTTAGTTGTTGCAATATTTAATCCAATAACATAAATTATATCTGTATTTAAAAACTTTCTTTTGTGCAATACAGTCCTATGGTACATAGAAACAATTGCAGCAAACCAGAAAGAGGCTTGCATTTTTTAACATCACTAACTAAAAAGCCAATTTTTAAGGTGTAGCATTACTCTACATGCTCTACTGAGTACAATACACTGACTTTTTGAAGCCAATATTTCTGTACAGAGAAAAAGAGCTATTTATCACTGTTTATTTAAAATAAATCAAGCGGAGGATTCCTCTGGTTGTTCACTGCCAAAACTGTGGCATTTTCATTACAGAGTTTGCAATGTCAAAGAAAAAGAAAAATAAAAGAAGAAAAAAAAAGCACAAATCACTTAAAGGGATCCATTTCTGGGTGACACAATCTATGCGCTGATATTGTTTAATTGTTAAAACAAACAAAGATTTTCAATGTACATTTCAGATGTCAGATACTGTAATTGATTTATTAAAGACTGGCTATCCAGTTCTAACACTGTTGTATAATGTTATGTACTTCAGAGAAAAAAAGAAAAAAAAATAAGAAACAACACAAAAGGCTTGATAATTTAGTTTTTTGAATAAAGAAATTTAATAAAAGATTGCCTACATGTAGCATTTTAGAGCATTTTAGAACATTTTGATGAACTGCATCTGTTCTGTAAGATATTTTTTTTTTTTGAAAGCTAAATCTGGTAAAAAATGTTTTTAAATGAAGTAATGTTTTACGAGGTGGTGGGTTAAAGAAGACTTAGCTTCTAGCCTCATTGATTTTGAACAACTCCTTGAAAACAAGGGGTTTGGAGAGTAATATTAAACCAAACTTCAAGGGCTTCTAAACCTGCAGATCTTACCCAAGCAAAATGCCTACAGAAACACAATGGGTATCTTTCCTGGGTAAAGATTCCTGTACTGAGCCCTTAATCTGAGCTAAGGCAGCACAGTACTCCCATCACTAGGCTGCCATAGTGTTTTTAATAGGTGTTTGCTTGGCCTTTTTATCAAAGAATGTCCAGTTTCAGGACACATTTTGATGTTTAAAGAGACAGTGACTTGGAACTTAAAAAAAACCCATCTTCATACTGATCATATACAAGCAAAATGAGTGTTAGCATCCCTCATAAACTGCTAAAGATATACCAAGAAATTGCTCTGAATACTTGTTAAATATATATATATATATATATGTGTATGTGTGTGTGTATATATATATATTTAATACTGACAACCATACTAAGACTTAGGAGGCAAGGTTCTTCTCACTTCTGTAGGACTAAACATGGCACAAGCCCATCGCTTTCGATTGGCCTGGAAGGTCTGGCAGTTGTGTCCTTGAGTGGAATCTGGCCTGAACACAGTTGGCTCCAACCCCTCAGTTACTTCCTGCGGGCAGCCTCCGGTGCCGGCTCCGGTGGGAGCTGCTGCTGCCGAGGCAGGTCTGCTGTGACACCGTAACTGGGAGGATGCAGGTCTTAGTTTATCTTCTGGGGCTTATTTTTTTCCCTTTCTTTTACTACCTCTCATTTTCTTAATTTATTGAACATGCTTCAGATAGCAGGTTTGGGGAATTTTTTAGTCATTCTTTTTACTTGAAACCTGTGTGCTTTTTTTGGATATATATATATATATATATATGAACAATTTAACAAACTGTTTCTTAAACTCATTTGGTTTTGTAATTTATATAGAATTCAGGAGATGATTAAAAGGGCTATTCTCTATTCCCTATGCAAATATTTTAACTGTTGTAGTGTTTGACAAAATGGGATCTAAAACAAAAATCTGCAAAGTGGAAAAACAAATCTGTTTACAGTGGCATTGCTGACTATCCTACCATATTCAGCACTTTTAAATATTGTTATTTATGAAAATGTAGTTTAAAATGCAAGACAAAATATTTATAAATGTTTCTTTTAATAAATACCTGTTTTGTCTGAAAGTGCTACCGTGTTATGACAACTTCATTCATGTTGGTTAGCTACTTACCATTATGAATAAAATATTCAATTATTATACTGATAGAATACGTGCTATGATGTTTACAAATCCTGAAGGGGGAAAATTCAGTGAGAAAGGACTGCCTCCTTCTACTGTGAAATGCTGTTAGGAAAAAAAATAATTTTTCTTGCTTTTTTCTTAATTGGAATTTAACTATGGTCCTACATATGTCTAGTATCATTTGACTAGTTATATCTACTTGGTACTAAACATATACAGCATCATATATGTATATATTTACATAGTGTAATTTCAAGTTGTTGGTGTTTGAGCCACAACACATTTAGTGCACACATCTAAGCAATGTGTAAGAGACAAAACTGCATGCATAAGTCTTGACAAATGTAGACTTGAATATTCTTAATGTTACTATTTGATGGTGACCTGCTAGTCATAAGCTATCTTTATAAGATATTTCACACAGGTAGAAGTTATTGTCAACACTGACAAGTCATCCTTTCAAGACAGTTTTAAATCTAGATGTGCAGGCCCTAAACTATTACCTTGATTTCTAGCGTAAGATTCCAAAATCTGTATTTGGAAACTGTGACATCATTTTTAAAACTATTACACCAATCTTCAGTGTAATACTGCAATGAAATCACGTTCTAAATTTATTGTCTAAAATCCTCTATTGGGAGGGATTTAAAAATTGAACATAGCATGTAAAGTTTCTTTCTTGGAGCAAATGCTCATATTAAGACATTTAATATACATTTCATTTATCAGTTTGGGTTTCCCAAATTTTTTTATGACAAAAATGGATGTGGTCCAAATGGACAATAAGTAACATGATCTCATTGCCTATCATACAGTTCTTTGAACACAAATTGTAAAAAAGTCAAGCTATTAACCTGATTTATTGTGCATGCAGTGTACAATACACTTTGAAAAACTGCCTAAATACACTTATTCTATAGCTTGGAATAAAATAAGTATGTATTTAACTTGTATTTTAGTTTTTCATGAGAATGTATATAGCAAGTGCACTACAGAGAGTTATGTTTTTGTCACTTTTGCCCGGTGTTTTAAATTCCTGTCAAGTAGAACCTAATGCCAAAGAGCCAAAAATAAGCAGAGCACTTCTGTACCCTCCTGTCCTTCAGGCTGCAAAGAAACTGAAACTACATTGTGTTACACATGTGTTCAACTTAGCTGTTTACAGACAGCTTTTGCATAACTGAGCTTAGTTTGGGATATCCAGGATGAAGCAAAAACACCCAGACAGTATTATGAGCATTCAGATTAGCCTGAAGGCATGTGTGGCATGAAGGAGACTAGAGGTTTGATGGAGAAAAGACAGGTTAGTGGCACAGGTGGCTGGGCTGCAGGTTAAACAGCTATGGCATAGTACTATGGAAACGTGGTCATAGCACGTCCAGGTCCACAGCCAGTCCATAATTCACTTGAATACCTGTGGAGTATATAGTCTGTAGGACAACAGAACCAGAGACAAAATAGGACATAAACCAGACTTCAGCTAGCAATAGCAATTTTTTAAATTAAAAGCACAATGAAGTGCTGCTGGGCAGTGATCTAAACTGAGCAAATAAAGGAGACCTACATTCTAGCTTCAACAGCCAGGGTTTAAGATGTCATCTCATGCCACACTTGATTCCCTAGGCAGCAAGTTCTCAATTACAAGGAGCATATGTCTGTGGAGCCAGTACCTAAAATTAGGCAGGGGGCTTTTTCAGTAAGAGCAGCTTGCTGGACTGACAATGCTGTGAGCCCACTCAGGAACCCACAACTGGCATAGGCAGGAAGTGGCTGCAAAAGCCACATTTAGCAGAAGTATTCCACAACACCAGTTCAAAAGCAATCAAAGATTATACAAGAAGTCTCTAAGTTCAGCAACTCTCTACACCATGAGGAGTAAAGCCTGTATTTCCACAATGTCTGTGAGCCTGCTCCTGGCATTGTTGACCCAGCCAACAGAGCCTGAGCCCTTATGAAATCCAACAAAGAAAAAATTAAAGTTGCACATAGGCAGACAGCTGCAACGTCTCCTCCAAATTGATCGGAATCATGTCCAACTACCAACATCTAAATAGGGTTTTTTTCAGCCTATAATGTTGTTATTTTTTAAGAGACCCAAGAGTAGCACCATAGCACATCCTGGGACTTGGACACAGTGACAAAAGTCCCTGTTCACCAACTTGCTGAACACATTTGCAGTGACAAAGCATTAGACCTGTTCAAATATGTCCTGAAAACTTCTACCAGCAGTACAAGTGATGTTGGTGGCATGAAAGAACAAAGCAATAATAGTGCCAAAATCAGTTGGACAAAGACTTGACAGAAACAGTGTCTGCATATTATTTTAACTTTTTACCAAAAGCCTGACTTTGCCCCTTCCTTTATCCATGAACTAAACCTGTGGAAATTCACCCTTCTCATTTAAAACAGGGATATGATTCAGGTGATTCAAAGGCTGACCATCAGTCATTAACTCAGATTACTTTTTTTTTTTTTCCTATTCTCAAAAGCTTTAACTTACCCTTACTCTAAGTTTCCTGAGTTTCCCATAGGTCTCTTCACAAGCTGGGCTCACACAGCAGTTAGACTCTCATTCATTGTTACAGAACATCAAAATATTTTGTATTTTAAAGCATAAATTGGATCATTTTTCCTTTATGCTTCTGGAAGAAAACTTAAAGGAGCTTCATGGGCAGGCAGTAGTGGGTACAAAGGAAGCTTTTGGTGGGTGAGATTTCATGAATGATGGCCTGGGGTTTTTATCAGTGCCAGACAACTCACACAGACTACATTCTCCACAAAGATATTCAAGTGTGACTTTTACTTATAAATTATTGCTACACTGTATTTTGCCAATACATCTTATCCAAAGCTGTGCACTTAAAATCATAGGAAAACATTTTTGTCTAACCATTACTACTAATGTTTGATATTTTGAATAGCAAATTCGCACACTGGCCGTTGGATTTCCATTGTGGAACAAAAACTTCCAAGCTTTCTTTTTTGACTACCAAAACTACTTAGGTTTTCAAGAATTACTCTTGCTTTTGATAGTAGATTTGTGAAAATAGCAATTTACTAATGTTTCATAAGGACATAACTGCAATTCCAACAGTGTAATTTAGTAGTTAGATATGATTGCCTAGTACTGGTAAGACAAGAACAAGGACAGAAGGAAGGCAAGGGCACAACTCTGACTCCTCCAATGATTGTAATATAAAATACTGCCTAATAAAATTTTATGGATAGTTGCACATTTGTATAATAAAATATATTCTTGAAACTGTTCTGGCTTTAGCCAAGGATCTCATTAATGATGTTATCTAAAACAAGGTAATATTCACTTGGTCTGCATTTCAGGAGGGATTTGCCCAGATCATCCCACAACACACAGTTCCTAAATGGCTGCATCACATCCTCACTGCCTTCCCACTTGAAACTTGCCTGTAAAACTCTGTACAGATATCTGTATTTTGTAAATGGGATATCTTCTAGTCTCACCACTGATCTCTGATGTGAAGGAACTTTGAATTGCCCTTTTTTGTTCCTCTGACAATTCATTTATTTTCCTCTACATACTTAATTTTGCACCTGCTTTCAGTGTGGGGCCTTCCTTCCACAACATTTGCGTGTTCTTTCTCAGACTACTTTAATTCTGAAGATTTCTTTTGGAGGCAGAAAGTCTGTAAGAGTAACCTGGATATGCAAGCCCCAGCTCACACTTCCCACTAACCTCAATTTTACCTATGCACACTTTAAACCGCCCCGGTAGAAACCTCAGTACTCCCGAGGCTCTTGCTCAGAATTACTGCTATAAGCTTTTGTGGTACGGAGGATTTGGTGGTGTTTGAGGCTTTTGTTGTTTTTTTTTTTGGTTCACAATGACTACACCTCACCTCCTGGGCCTGCAGAGGGCGCTGGGGGCGCCCGGCCGGGCCATGAGGCGGAGCCCCGCCCCGTCAGTGCTGGCCAATCAGAGCCCGCCCGCCCCACAGTGGGACAGCACGAGCCGAGGGAAGCCGAACCCCTTCGGCAATTTCCGCCACCGGAGCCCCGATGATTTCCTACTGCGCCAAAGAAAGCGCCGAGCCTCTTCGGTAACTTCCGGAAACCCGGGAGGGAGGCTGCCGAGCGCGTTCGGGCGTCTCCGGCACGGCAGCGACACCCGGGCGACAGGAGGGCGGCCGTGCTCCGGCCCCAGCCAGACATGCGGCTGCTGTCGCGGGCCCTCTGCGCGGCGCAAGGCTACCGAGCCGTCGCGCTGCCCCCTCGGAGCCTCCGGGCAGCGCCGGCGGGACGGCCACTGCCGG